ACCACACCCCAGCACGACCACGCCCCAGCACGACACCCCAGCACGACCACACCCCAGCACGACCACACCCCAGCACGACGCCACCCCAGCACGACCCCACCCCAGCAAGACCACACCCCAACACGACCACACCCCAGCACGACCTCACCACAGCACGACCTCACCCCAGCACGACCACGCCCCAGCACGACCACGCCCCAGCACGACCACGCCCCAGCACGACCACACCCCAGCACGACCACACCCCAGCACGACCACACCCCAGCACGACCACGCCCCAGCACGACCCCACCCCAGCATGACCACACCCCAGCACGACCACACCCCAGCACGACGCCACCCCAGCACGACCCCACCCCAGCAAGACCACACCCCAACACGACCACACCCCAGCACGACCTCACCACAGCACGACCTCACCCCAGCACGACCACGCCCCAGCACGACCACGCCCCAGCACGACCACGCCCCAGCACGACACGCCCCAGCACGACCACCCCCCAGCACGACCACACCCCCAGCACGACTACCCCCCAACACGACCACCCCCCAGCACGACTACTCCCCAGCACGACCACTCCCCAGCACGACCACACCCCAGCACGACCACACCCAAGCACGACCACACCCAGTCGCACCCCCGTGGAATGTTTCGTGGTGTGTCTGGTTGAGTGGTTGCCTGTTCACGGGGTGTCTCGTGGAATGTTTCACGGGGTGTCTCGTGGAATGTTTCGTGAGGTGTCTCGTGGAATGTTTCGTGAGGTGTCTCGTGGGATGTTTCGCGGGGTGTCTCGTGGGATGTTTCGTGGGTGTCGCCCAGTTGGGTATCGTGAAAACGTGACCATGCTGCACATGTCTATATCCCTTTCCGGGTTCGTGGGTCCATCATGTTCCCGGAAAGGGCTCGAGCCCAGGGTTCTCTTTTAGTTGGTAAACCTGTCCCCCGGTGCCAACTTGAAGGAGGCCGGCGAATTTTTTCCCTGATAAATAACGAGGTCGAAGGAGGCCGGCGAATTAAAATTTGAGGATGTCTCGAGCGAAACGCTTGTTTTTCAAATGAGATGTCTCGAGCGAAACGCTTTTTGCAGAGTTGGAGGATGTCTCGAGCGAAACGCTTGCTCCGCAGAGTTTGCCGAGGATGTCTCGAGCGAAACGCTTGTTTTGCAGAGCCGACCGCGACGCGGAAAAGCGCTCCGCGCGAAGGAATTTCGATGATGTCTCGACTAATTCGTTTGTTTTTGTACGATTTCCTGGAATTTTGGCAGGATGTCTCGAGCGAAATGCACGACCCCACCCTAGCACGACCATACCCCAGCACGACCACACCCCAGCACGACCAGACCCCAGCACGACCCCACCCCAGCACGACCCCACCCCAGCACGACCATACCCCAGCACGACCACACCCCAGCACGACCCGACCCCAGCACGACCCTACCCCAGCAAGACCACACCCCAGCACGACCACACCCCAACACGACCTCACCACAGCACGACCACACCCCAGCACGACCACGCCCCAGCACGACCACGCCCCAGCACGACCACCCCCAGCACGAGCACGACCCCCCCCAGCACGACCACCCCCCAGCACGACCACCCCCCAGCACGACCACACCCCAGCACGACCACTCCCCAGCACGACCACACCCCAGCACGACCACACCCCAGCACGACCACACCCAGTCGCACCCCCGTGGAATGTTTCGTGGCGTGTCTGGTTGAGTGGTTGCCTGTTCGTGGGGTGTCTCGTGGAATGTTTCACGGGGTGTCTCGTGGAATGTTTCGTGAGGTGTCTCGTGGGTTGTTTCGTGAGGTGTCTCGTGGGATGTTTCGCGGGGTGTCTCGTGGGATGTTTCGTGAGATGTCGCCCAGTTGGGTATCGTGAAAACGTGACCATGCTGCACATGTCTTTATCCCTTTCCGGGTTCGTGGGTCCATCATGTTTTGGGTTTTATTCGCCGTGACTTGATTCACGAATTGCAACCAGACAAGCTTACGCGATTCGGCCAAGCTTGGTGCCATGGTACGTTTTGCATGGCGGACCACAACGAGAGAAAATTATTCCGACGGAAGGACCCCACATGAGCATCTGTTTGGCTTGCCCTTAACCCTTCCCTCCTCGCCCTGGAGGACACCCTCCTCTCGCCCTCTGCTCTGCCCTGTCTTCCTCCAATGGTTCAAACAATGCACGTGTCCCAATGGGTGCGTGCGAAGCACGTCCCAAAGGGTGCGCGTACCACACGTGTCTCAGTGGGTGCGTGCCGGAGCACATCCCAGAGGGTGCGCGTGTACTGTACTGTGCGTGTCCCTATGGGTGCGTGCGTAGCACGTCCCAAAGGGTGTGCGTACTACACGTGTCCCAGTGGGTGCGCGCCAGAGCACGTTCCAGAGGGTGCGCGTGTACTATACCGTACGTGTCCCTATGGGTGCATGCGTAGCACGTCCCAAAAGGTGCGCGTACTACACGTGTTTCAGTGGGTGCGTGCCGGAGCACGTCCCAGAGGGTGCGCGTGTGCATGTGTCCCAATGGGTGCGTGCAAAGCACGTCCCATATGGTGTGCGTACTACACGTGTCCCAGTGGGTGCGTGCCGGAGCACATCCCAGAGGGTGCGCGTGTATTGTACTGTGCGTGTCCCTATGGGTGCGTGCGTAGCACGTCCCAAATGGTGCGCTTACTACACGTGTCCCAGTGGCTGCCATAGGGAGGGGCCCCCGTTCGAGACTTCCTCGCGAGTCACTCACAGACGAGGCCCCAGCTCGAGACTTGCTGCATCTTCAGGCCCGAGTAGCCCAAAAGTGACGACGGTTACAGAATTCGCATGACCGCGCCCGGATTACCAACACGAAGCGCGTGCCCCATAGGGAAGGGGCTCACGCCTGAGACTTCCTCGCAATTCACTCACAGACGAGGCTGCCGCCCGAGATTTCCTACATATTCAGGCCTCAGGAGCCCAAAGGTGACGACTATTACAGGGTTGAGGATGGCCCGCTCGGATTACCAACATGAAGCGCGGGACCCATAGGGAGGGGGTTCCCGCCTGAGACCTCCTCACGATTCACTCACAAAAGAGGCTGCCGCCTGATATTTCCTCCACTTGGAGGCCTCAGGAGCCCAATAGTGACGACTATTACAGGGTTGAGGATGACCCGCTCGGATTACCAACATGAAGTGCGAGACCTATAGGGAGAGGGCTCCCGCCTGAGACTTCCTTACACGTCACTCACAAAAGAGGCTGCCGGCTGATATTTCTTACATGTTCAGGCCTCAGGAGCCCAAAAGTTACGACAGTTACAGGGTTGAGGATGACCCGCTGGGACTACCAACACGAAGCGCGTGCCACATAGGGGAAGGGCTCCCGCCTGAAACTTCCTCGCAATTCACTCACAGACGATGCTCCCGCCTGAGACTTCCTTCGAATTCAGGCCTGAGACGCCCAATAGTGACGACAATTACAGGGCTGGGGATGGCCCGCTCGGATTACCTACATGAAATGCAGGACCCATCGAGAGGGGGTTCCCGCCTGAGACTTCCTCGCAATTCACTCCAAAGGAGGCTGCCGCCCAATATGTTCTAAATATTCAGGCCTCAAGAGCCCAAAGGTGACGACTATTACAGGGTTAAGGATGGCCCGCTCGGATTACCAACATGAAGCGCGGAACCCATAGGGAGGGGGCTCCCGTCTGAGATTTCCTTGCAATTCACTCACGACGAGGCGGCGGATATTTCCGACATATTCCTGCCTGAGGAGCACAATAGTGACGACAATTACAGGGTTGAGGATGACCCGCTCGGATTACCAACATGAAGTGCGGGACCCATAGGGAGGGGGCTCCCGCCTGAGACTTCCTCACAATTCACTCTCAGACGAAGCTCCCGATTGATACTTCCTCCACATGAAGGCCACAGGAGCCCAAAAGCGACGACAATTACAGTGTTGAGGATGACCCGCTCGGATTACCAACAGAATGCGCGGCACCCATAGAGAGGGGGTCCCGCCTGAGATTTCCTCACAATTCACTTACAAACGAAGCTCCCGCTTGATACTTCCTCCATATTCAAGCTAGGGAGTGTGTGATGACGAAGTGATGAGTGAGTGTGTGATGATGATGGTGGGTGAGTGGATGATGATGATGATGATGACGATGATGATGATGATGATGCTGATGATGATGATGATGATGATGATGATGATGATGATGATGATGAGAATGATGATGATGGTGCTGATGATGAGTAATTGGGTGAGTGATCGAGTGATAATGGTGATCATGATGGTGGGTGTGGGTTTGTGAGTGAGTAATGGTGTGAGTGAGTGTGTGAGTGATGACGACGGTGTGAGTGAGTGAGGCGGAGAGGGTGTGTGTGTGTGAGTGTGAGTGTGTGTGTGTGTGAGAATGTGTGATGATGATGAGGATGATGAGGAAGAGAGGGGGGAGGAGAGATCCTACGCGGTGGGTGTGCAGAGAAAACAAGAACCCCTCTTTGGATGTTGGGAAAACAGGCCGCGCTGGAACATGGTGATATCAAAGTGGGGGTGGTCGAATATAAAGCCGGTTTCAAGTGTCACGATTGCGAGGCAAAGCCAGGTTACACGGATCGGAGCAGGGTGGGGATGCGGAGTAGGACGGTTGAGCAGAGCCACATAAATTCCAGATGTTTAGATCCTCAGAAGTTGGATCTGGCACAGCTCGGTAACACGCCCTTTCTGCACAGTCGATTTAGCGGTGCAGATCTATCCCGCCTCGTTGCGCCCCCTTCTGTCCCCTTCTGTTTGATCTCTTTGTTTTAAAGAATTCCTTCATATCCAAGTCCCTCACCGTTCCCCTTTCGTTGCTTATAATCAGACCATTCCTTTACCATTATCCCTCCCATCCCTTTCGCCCCCCCCCCCACCCCACATGCACCAACCGTCAACTCCCCAACCTTTCCATCCCACCGCGTTTGCAGTCTGTCTGGCGCCGATCTGGTTGCTATTTCATAAGATCGCTCGCGCAGGAATTATCTACGTCGCTCCAGGAAGCCACAAGCAAGGCGAGCTCCCGCTCAGTGGAATTCCGGCCGGCTGGAGGAGAGAATGACGGAGAGATGAGGAATGATGAAGCGGACAGAGACCGAGAGAGAGAGAGAGAGAGAGAGATAGAGATAGACAGACACAGAGACAGAGACAAAGACCGATAAACGTTTTAGGGCGAGGCGTGACTACAACGCTAGGACACCCACCCTTGGGTTCCATACCCCCCCCGACGTTGTTTCTATTTTAAGAATTTTCAGAGGGGCGTGTGTCCAGCGCCCAAATTTCACCAGGGAAAGTCGTTCCAGCAGATTACGGATGCCTTCAAGAAGGGCGGGCTCCAGCACCCAACGCTTACGAGGGGCAGTGGTTCCAGCAGCCCACTGCGTGGGTTCCACTGCCCACTTTTGACCAGAGGATGTCGTTCCAGCAGATCATGCAATCAAGAAGGGTGGCTTCTAGCACCGAGTTCGTACGAGGGGCAGCTCCAGCACCCCGAGGGTGAAAACGCTCCAGCAGATTGTGCCGACAAGACGGGCGGGCTGTCGTTTGAAGAGGCAGTTGGGGCGACCCGCGCCCCAGCCACGAACCCTCCTAAAGTCCGCTTCAAGCTCGGAACTGCATGCGGGCGCGGCCACCGGAGCCTCGGGTGGCGCTCCCTACGGGACCACCAAACGTGTGAGGAGTGCGCCGGAATTGACGGCAGAACCGCATGCGAACGCAGCCTTTGGGGCCTTCGGCGGAGCCCCGTATGGAGCCACGAGGCGTGTGATGGATTTGCGGAATCGAGGGTGGAACTGCATAAGAACGCAGCCTTTGGTGTATTAGCTGGAGTTCCCTATGGGGCCACGAAACGTGTGAGGGGTGTGCCGAACTGGTTGACTGATGCGGAGGGGGGAGGAGGAGAGGAGGAGTGACGCGGGGCGCTGTCTCTTCAAAACGAGGGCCCAACACCACAAGATGGTTGGAAACAAAACGCAATGGGTTTTCAATATTTCAATTTGGGGACTCCTAGATTGAAGTCCAAAGGTCAAACAGTATTCAATCGGCGATGTGTATGCGATTGCGAATTTCAACACGTCACTTTATCAATCCCGCGATTCCAGGGTTGCCATTTTCAATCCCGGACGTCGGTTTCAATCTGGGACCTCGGATTGGGTTTTGCAATTTGATCCAGAATTCTACGCCGTTCCGCCGACCTCCAGAAGAGGCGGGGAGTCCACGGTTGAGGCGTCGTGGGCTTCTTGGGAGCTGTCTGGGGGCTCTTGTGGGTGCCCTGGTAGCTATTTGATGGCCTAACGGAGCCTCCTGGAGGCAGGTTTGAAGCATCATCGGGTCCGTTTTGTGGCATCTTCTGGGCCTCTTGGATGCCTCTTGGGGCCTATTGTTGGCCTGTTTTGGGCCGCTTGGGGGCTTCCCAGGGCCTGTGGTGGGCCTGCCGGCGCGGAAAAGTGGGACTTTCGGTTCGCGTTCTTCTTCATGGCCTCTGTTGGGGCCTTCTTGGGGCGATCGTTGGCCATCTTGGGCCCCTCTCTGGGCCGTCTTAGATCCCTCTTGGGCCGTCCTGGCGACCTCCTAGAGGCCTCCTGGGCAGTTGGCGGGGGGTCTACGGGGCCTGTTGGCCGTCTGGGAGCGTCGGAAGTTCGAGGACACGATAACCCCAGAAACAGTGAAACACCAACGGGAAATTATTCATACGTTTCTTGGGAAGGCTCTTGGGCCTCTCTTGGGGCGTCTCGAAGACGCCTTGGAGCCATCGTAGGCGTCTTGGACCAATCGGTCGACGATTCGGGACCCTCTAGGAACGTCTTCGAGGCCACGGAAGGCAGATTTGGAAGCTCCAGAGTCTCCAGAGTCCAGAGGCGCGCCGGGGAGCTCGGAGACCCGCCCCCCCCCTTAAACGAGATTTTGTTTAAACCCTGGGGGATGGGGAGACGCGGAGGGGGACAGCCAATCATCTCACGCGCCCTCTCACCCCTTGCAAGCGGGGGTCGGCGGATTGAATTTCACAATAGTCCAAGACCCAGGCGCGAGAGAGGGAGAGACGGATGGATCTCCCGCGTCCTTTTGCCCCCCGCTCCCCAACCTTTCCCCAAATCCATGAAGATCAGGCAAGCGGATTACGTGTTGGCCAACTTGCTTTTCGTTGTTGTGCAGCCTCCAGTGTTTAGCCCGCGCCCCCGGTGACATCGCGCGGTAGAAGCCTTTGGCCCACGGCGCAACCCATCACGCGCGTCATTGCGCGATCGCGGCAATGCTGCCACTGCGCGCTCATCCATTATTCCTAAGGCTGCCGCCTCTGCCGCCGACCGCAGAAAGGCTTGCATATCCGAATTTAACAAAGTGTGGTTCGCTCGACACTACAAGTGTCCTCCAAGATCGCCCTAAGACGGGCGAACACTCGCGCAAGTGAGACCGAAGACGGCCCAAGAGGGCTTCAGCTTTCCAATTTGGAAATCTGTATGTCTTACGTGCTCCTAGGGTGCTTTACTTGGGTAGTCGTCTCTTCGGGCCCTCTTGGGTGGCCTCTTGGAGGCCTCTTCGGGCGTTTTCGGGGTTGCTCGAGCCTTTCTGGGGCCATGTTGGGCGTTTTGGAGCGATCTTTCGTCGATTCGGGGCCTCTTCGACCATTTTGGGGTCGTCTTGGGGCCGTGTTGGCTCCTTGTGGGGCCCGTTATCCTTCCATGTTGCGTTCGGGCTGGGATCAGGGCATTCCGCGGGACCCTTCCGCGCCAAATCGACCTGACTGGGTTCCGGGTGGAGGGGTTTGGGGAGGGGGGAACATCTCACACGCCGATGACACCCCAAGGGGTCGGCGGATATTTTGTTTCTCTTGGCATACAGTCACGTAGGTTTTGTCGGTCCCCGGGGATAACCCCGGCTTCGGGGGGGGGGGGGTCAGAACTCTTTGAGAAAGGAGAACACACGTGGCGCAATTAAATTTTACAAATGAGTTGACACATTCCATGCTCTTGGAAACATCCCACCTACCCACCCGCAACTTGGTTTGCAAAAGCCATGCGGGGGCGATTGCGATGAGTGCTTGGTGTTGGCTGGTGCATCTCCGCGGCCGCGCTAGTCCGCGAATGCTCGCGCGCGCAGCAGCTAGCTAGTTTGGCGCGGCCGACGCGACCGCAGTGGCGCTGGCCGCTGGACAATTCCCAGCGGGCACTTCAGTGCGAGTCAGTGACTTGGGTGGGCGCGGTAGCATGGCAACGCCGACGACGGTAGACGCGATGTATGAGAATAGCGATGATGGTGACGATGGTGGCGATGACGATGGCAAGGCCAATGACGGCGCCGATGTTGATCGTACCCGCCGACGACGATGACGATGTCCTCGCGTCGGCGATGGCGATTTGTGAAGGAGGTCGACATGGACGCGCGGCCGACGCGCGCGAGTGGCCCGCGCGGCATGTGCAATCTAGGTTGCGCGTACTCCGCGGGGCAGTCCTCGCGGCGCAGTTGACTTTGACTTCCTCGCGCGCGGCCACCTCCCATGCTCGCGCGCCCATCCCGCCCGCCCACCCGCAAATTGGTGCGTAAAACCCGTTTCGGCGGCGATTGCGACGCTGCTTGGCACTGACTGGCGTATCGCTGCGACCGCGCTAGCGCGCGCGGGCTCGCGCGCAGAGCGGCCGATTAGTCTGGCGCGATAGTCGCGGCCGCGGTGGCGCTGACCACCGGGGACGTCCTAGCGCGTGTTGCACGCGGCGCCGACGCTCGGACACGTCAGTGCGAGTCAGTGCCTCGAGCAGGCGCGGTATCATTGCTACGTCGACCGCGGCGTGCGCGCCGATGATAGTTGCGAAGCCGGCGACGACGATAACGATGACGACAGTAAGATCAAATGCGGCGCCAATGCTGACCACGCCGACGACGACGATGGCGTTTAAACGTCGGCGGTGGAAATTTTGCAAGAATTTCGACGCGCGCGAGCGGTCGACGCGCGCGAGTGGCCCACTCGGCATTATTTGACAGGGATCGCCCCCCCCTCCCCCCCCCCAGCACGCGCACAAGGGCGTTCGAATGATGTCGACATGCGCGCGCGAGAGGCCCGTTCGGTCGCAGTTGATGAACGCGCTGAAAAGCAAAGGTCCCCACGCGAGTTCGCAGTGGTTCGCTCGCGTACCTTTTTCCCGGAAAGGGCGTCGGCCCAGGGTTCTCTTTTAGTATGTAAACATGTCCCCGGCACCCAACTTGAAGGAGGCCGGCGAAATTTTTCCCTGATAAATATCGAGGTCGAAGGAGGCCGGCGAATTAAAATTTGAGGATGTCTCGAGCGAAACGCTTGTTTTCAGAATTTGTTGAGGATGTCTCGAGCGAAACGCTGGTTTTGCAGAGTTGGGGATGTCTCGAGCGAAACGCTTGTTTTCAGAATTTGTTGAGGATGTCTCGAGCGAAACGCTGGTTTTGCAGAGCCGACCGCGACACGGAAAAGCGCCCCGCGCGCAGGAATTCAGAGGATGTCTCGCGCGTGCCGCGTCCCGCGCGCAGAGTTTCAAGGATGTCTCGACTAATTCGTTTGTTGTCCTAGGATTTCCTTGAATTTTGGCAGGATGTCTCGAGTGAAATGCACGACCCCACCTTAGCACGACCACACCCCAGCACGACCACACCCCAGCACGACCCCACCCCAGCACGACCCCACCCCAGCACGACCGCACCCCAGCACGACCCCACCCCAGCACGACCACACCCCAGCACGACCCTACCCCAGCACGACCGCACCCCAGCAAGACCACACCCCAGCACGACCACACCCCAGCACGACCTCACCACAGCACGACCACACCCCAGCACGACCACGCCCCAGCACGACCACACCCCAGCACGACCACGCCCCAGCACGACCACCCCCCAGCACGACCACCCCCCAGCACGACCACCCCCCAGCACGACCACTCCCCAGCACGACCACACCCCAGCACGACCACTCCCCAGCACGACCACGCCCCAGCACGACCACACCCCAGCACCACCACACCCAGTCGCACCCCCGTGGAATGTTTCGTGGGGT